TTCGACATATATAGTTTATGTAAGATAATGAGCTATGTTTTTTTTTTTTTTTAATTAATAAACACTAAACAACAAATCAGCGATTGTGAACAGCGTTGGCAAGTTGGCGTTTTTAACGTCATTTGGACGTTTTTTGTATCCTGTTGACGTTTGGACGTTTTTTGTGTAAAAAATGACGTTTTTTAACCTCCCAGTAATTTTTCTCTGTTACTAAATCTTGTAATTTGAACTGATTTTGAATTATTTTCTCAATAAATCTTTATAAGCTTTGTGTTTTGCAGTAACTGCTTCAAAAGATATTTATTCTTTGGACACAGATGACTTAAATATGATGCATACCATGTGTACGCGCATTTTTTTTGGATTCTTGGACTAAGGATCCCGTGTCAAAGGCTGGTTGTGTAAAAACTTGAGGTTACGAGGCTTATTGTAATGTTTGCAATTGCACATTAAAAACCAAATCATCAAGAGCTGATCTCTTGCAACACGCACGCTCGCAAAAGCATCAAAAAAGCTGTAGCAGCATAAAAAGTCAGAAAAAAGTAGGCGACTTTTTTAATACTTCATTGAAAATTTAATGAACCCAGAAAAGGCTGAAATATTGCTATGCTCCTTCTTAGCAGAACGTAATATAGCATTTTCGACAACCGACCCCTTACCAAATGTCTACAAGAAAAAAAATTATGAAAAATCAACCCGATTCTTTAGCAACTTAAAACTGGCACATTATTGCCCCGAAATTTAATGGGTTATCAAACTGCGTACTCAAAAAAATTCTAAAAAATCTAAATAAAAATTTGAAAATCTAGCTGAAGCTTTGCAGATTTTTTTTAATTTTTGCACAGTGTTTGAAATGTGGATTTATATTTTGTTTATTATATAATAAGCTTGGCTTTTATGAAAAAATAGTAAACATTTTTTGTATCCTGTTGACGTTTGGACGTTTTTTGTGTAAAAAATGACGTTTTTTAACCTCCCAGTAATTTTTCTCTGTTACTAAATCTTGTAATTTGAACTGATTTTGAATTATTTTCTCAATAAATCTTTATAAGCTTTGTGTTTTGCAGTAGCTGCTTCAAAACATATTTATTCTTTGGACACAGATGACTTAAATATGATGCATACCATGTGTACGCGCATTTTTTTTGGATTCTTGGACTAAGGATCCCGTGTCAAAGGCTGGTTGTGTAAAAACTTGAGGTTACGAGGCTTATTGTAATGTTTGCAATTGCACATTAAAAGCCAAATCATCAAGAGCTGATCTCTTGCAACACGCACGCTCGCAAAAGCATCAAAAAAGCTGTAGCAGCATAAAAAGTCAGAAAAAAGTAGGCGACTTTTTTAATACTTCATTGAAAATTTAATGAACCCAGAAAAGGCTGAAATATTGCTATGCTCCTTCTTAGCAGAACGTAATATAGCATTTTCGACAACCGACCCCTTACCAAATGTCTACAAGAAAAAAAATTATGAAAAATCAACCCGATTCTTTAGCAACTTAAAACTGGCACATTATTGCCCCGAAATTTAATGGGTTATCAAACTGCGTACTCAAAAAAATTCTAAAAAATCTAAATAAAAATTTGAAAATCTAGCTGAAGCTTTGCAGATTTTTTTTAATTTTTGCACAGTGTTTGAAATGTGGATTTATATTTTGTTTATTATATAATAAGCTTGGCTTTTATGAAAAAATAGTAAACATTTTTTGTATCCTGTTGACGTTTGGACGTTTTTTGTGTAAAAAATGACGTTTTTTAACCTCCCAGTAATTTTTCTCTGTTACTAAATCTTGTAATTTGAACTGATTTTGAATTATTTTGTCAATAAATCTTTATAAGCTTTGTGTTTTGCAGTAGCTGCTTCAAAACATATTTATTCTTTGGACACAGATGACTTAAATATGATGCATACCATGTGTACGCGCATTTTTTTTGGATTCTTGGACTAAGGATCCCGTGTCAAAGGCTGGTTGTGTAAAAACTTGAGGTTACGAGGCTTATTGTAATGTTTGCAATTGCACATTAAAAGCCAAATCATCAAGAGCTGATCTCTTGCAACACGCACGCTCGCAAAAGCATCAAAAAAGCTGTAGCAGCATAAAAAGTCAGAAAAAAGTAGGCGACTTTTTTAATACTTCATTGAAAATTTAATGAACCCAGAAAAGGCTGAAATATTGCTATGCTCCTTCTTAGCAGAACGTAATATAGCATTTTCGACAACCGACCCCTTACCAAATGTCTACAAGAAAAAAAATTATGAAAAATCAACCCGATTCTTTAGCAACTTAAAACTGGCACATTATTGCCCCGAAATTTAATGTGTTATCAAACTGCGTACTCAAAAAAATTCTAAAAAACCTAAATAAAAATTTGAAAATCTAGCTGAAGCTTTGCAGATTTTTTTTAATTTTTGCACAGTGTTTGAAATGTGGATTTATATTTTGTCTATTATATAATAAGCTTGGCTTTTATGAAAAAATAGTAAACATTAAATAAACAAAAGAGAAACAGCCAAAATCGATCAAAATGGTGATGACTTAATCAGTTGATGACAAGTGTATGTAAATGATTTTTATATTAACAATCTCAAACCAGTTTACAATGAATTTTATATGTGCTCTGTCAAAGTGACATTTTAATATACCTTACGTACATACTATGTACCTTTGTATACAATAAACGTTTAATAAGAATAGTTTGTTGTACATTCATTTGAATAAGACGTTTTTGGGTAGGAAATGACGTTTTTTCAGACCAACAGAGACGTTTTCTCATGCCGAAGACCTAGCAACACTGATTGTGAAGATATTCATGCTCACTAGTTTACAAGCAAGTCAAGCAATTGTGAGAGAGTAACATTTTTTAGTGAGAGCAAGTTAGAGTGAACAATGGGCTGATTCATGAGCATGTGAGCATATTCATAAACTGAGCTATTCACTGCCGAACCCTGTTGTGTAGCGCTGCCACTGGATTTCAGAATATGTAAATATTTTAAAATTTTTAAAAGAGCACTTAAAAGGGGAAAATTATAAGTGGTAAATGGGGTACGAAAAATTTAGGTACTTAGGCGGATTGGGTAAAGCGGGGAGGTACTTAAGAGAGGAATTTTCTTCAGATTACATTAAAAAATTCACGGTGCCCAAAAATGTTGGTTACTTAAGGGGTTAGGTACTTAAGCGCGTGGGTACTTAAGCGGGTTTCACTGTAATCCAAATTGAGGCTACTATTTTTTTGCTCCATTTTCACTATTTACCACCAACAATGCAAGCAAATTTTGACAGCCGCTTTTGTTGCATAGCGCCACTTGCGGATACTAAAATTTAGGCTAATCTATTTTTAGCGAAAATCGGATAAAATGTAAGCTTTCGCATTTTAGCATATTTTAGCTATAACGAAAGTTAGAATCCGGCTGCTGGTCGACACAGTTGGCTTTTTGATTTCGAAAAGCACTTCATCAGCAAGAAACGCAATGTTTTCAGATCTAAATATTTCAGCATCCTTTCCAAATTGTTTTCCATAATTTTCGCCTTTCTTTGATAAATAATTGCCAAAAAGAAGCGTTTTTTCTTCTAATAGTTTCATGGAACTTTGGCAAATATCAACAGCATCAACTTTTTGCAACATGGTTGACAATCGAAGAAAGCTTTTCTTTTTTAAAACATCCTAGCAGCCAAACTTCAAACAACTCGCCTTTTGTAACAGCATAGTAACCCAGAAAAAAGAGTTTTTCTTGAAAACGGCTAAAAACGGCGGCTTAAGTAAAAATAAAATCAACTCATTACATCTCAATTTATTTAATTCCTTTTCCCTTTTGTTTGCCGAAAGTTAACAAAATTGTAAAAGCTTACCTAAAATCATACATGGGAATAAATCAGAAAATTTTTGAGGTTATGCAACGAAGTCTATTTTTTTACAACAAATGATAAAAGGCCATTTTTTTTGATTGGGACATAGGTACTCACTTATATTTTTGCTTTCCATTGAAAATGTAGCTTACCTATCCCAACTTTATAAAAAAATTCACTTTAAATTTAAGAAATAAACAGGTTACGCAAACAACGTGTTAATAACGTTTTGAAAGTGTAACTTTGTGTGATTGCTGTCTAACGGTGTTTTTTATCTTACAAAAACAAAGTGAAGTTTTTGTTATGTTGGATTGGCAACAAAAAATAATGTAAAACTGCGTTTACGAAATGTGACTTTCGCACAACCAAATGAATCATTTGACCTAATGTGCAGTGATCACAAAAAAAATAATATTAGTTTAAAGGGGCTTGGATGGGATTTAGATTCCGACTGTGTCACAGTTTTTTTTATATAGTGCTTATCATAACTGTAAGACACCAAAAGGTCAAGTTTTGACTATTTTTTTTTTTATTATTATTTAATTTTGATTATTTTTTTTTATAAAAATATAGGTTATTCCTTAACAATAACCGAATAAATCTAAGTTTCAAACTTCTTAAAAATATCGGTATTTTTAATCAGATATAACATTAATTAACAGTTTTTTTCCCAAAAACTGGACGTGCAAGAAAAATTTTGTAAATGCACTTCAAATCAGCATCAAAACATCTATTGCCGATTTCGTTTCTACAGAAAAATGCAACCTTCTATTTGCCCTCTACGCACAAAGACTAAGAAGAGGGCGATGAGAAGGCAACATTTTTTGTAGAAACGAAATCGCCATATAAGACGAGGCCGGCCCCGTTTTTGAGATAAATACATCAAAATTTTGTTGAACCGTGTTATTATATATTATATTATTATTGGCAGGCATTCGAATTAAGCGTATAATTTGAAATAAAAACTGGGTACTACTAATTAAAAAAGGAAATTAGCGGTCAATTAGTATTTTTGAAATATTCATATATCTACACATGTTTAACCCACAAGAATTTGAAATTTTTAGCTTTCGTACAAAAATTCAAAAAAGATTTGTTGACGCGTATTTGGCTGGTAATAAATATAACCTTATTCTTTCCTATTCTGTATTAACAGTGAAACGTCCAAGAGCAGGAGATCCGTTCGATACATTTCCAAAGAACTTTTGGCAAGAATTCTCATCACCTTTTACGGACACGCCAGAGGATGAAGAGTCGGAAATTACAGAGACTACAACGCATGAACCCTTTCCGTTTTTTGCTGATCCGTACACAACAGTAAACATCAGCACGCAATTGAGTTCAGATGTGCATCTTCATTGCAGAGTCAACGATTTGCAAGGAAAAACGGTGAAAAGCATTATATATTTGATTTTCTAACTGAAACTGCATACGTATTTATGTACGAGGGTCACTAAAACGTCCCTAAAATACATATGTAAGAAAGAAACCAGTTAAAATTATGTTATTACTATACCAATTACAAACACTGGCCCTGGTGGTGTTTCATCACCAAAAATCGAAGTAAGTCCATCGTTGCACTAATATTGTTTTAATCCTAGTCGAAAGTTATATATGTACAATCATTCAACGAATACCCGTTTTTAATATTACTATTATTTTTACTACTTTAAACTTTGAAATGACAGTAACAAACACAAAGAGCGCAAAAAAATGCAAAAAATTGTATGATGCAAAGTTCAAATCGAATGGCATTAGTTTTGCGAGTTCTAAAGACTTTTTAGTGACATGTTTTAGTCCAGTGTTTCAGAAAGACTTCACAACCCGTCAAATATATATACATACACTAGGCGGCAAATGAATGTGTATATCTTGTTCTAACATACTATTCACAATAATTTTCATGAACAATTTTTGGCATTATTTATTTACGAAAATATAGTTCATTCTATAATATAAATCATATGAGTCAAAGTTTCACACTTTATGTAAAGTTCAGAAAAATTAAAAAAAATCATCAAAATTTAAAATTTTTTTCAAAATTTCTAGAAAATTTTCGAGTATTTAGTTTTGTAGCCCATTCAATTTAAGTAAACGAAGTACAAGTTTTAGGTCGCTAAAAATTACCGTTGTTTTTTTTTGCTTTTTTTTGGAGGGGCGCAACACCCTCCAACTTCTTCTATATAACGCAGGATCCAAAGCTATTTTATATGGAAGAAACAGGCGCAACATCCTCCACAAAAAAAAAATTAAAAATAATCAACGGCAATTTTTAGGGACTTGAAACTTGCACTTTATTTTACTGAAATTGAATGGGCTACAAAACTGTATAGATACTCGAAAATTTTCTGGAAATTCTGAATAAAATTTTTAAATTTTGATGAAAATTTGTTGAATCCTTGTAAACTTTATATAAAGTGTGAAACGTTGATTTATAGGGTTTATATTCTAGAATGAACTATAAGTATTTTCACAAACAATTAAATGCAAAATTAATGCAAAAAATTGTGCATGAAAATAATTCTGAATATTATATTAGAACAAGGTGTACACTTTCATTGGTCGCCTAGTGTATGTACTATTATGATTTTTTACCTTATTTTGACTTGCGGCCGCTGTAGCCGAGTGGTTAGACATTCGGTGGGACAAAATTCCTTAGTCCTAGCGACATCCAAAAATATAAATAGTTTTTTCTAACAGCATTCAAGAGGTGTAAAATTGTAGGCCCCTCTGTCTATGTCATAACATCAAGAAGAACATGAAAAATGGTGGGAGAAGCTCGGTCAAATGCTTGTTTTGGAGTTTTAAAAAACCTTTGGTGCAAAAAAATGCGTTTGCCCTAGGTGTTATAAGTCCCTTAAATAATTGCACTGAGCTCTTCCACCCTATCGTTACCTAATATGGTTAGATCCTTTGGTAATATCTCAATTCCGATCTGTGTATGTATTAGAGCGCTGCATGAATTCATTCAAAACAGCTTATGGATTATTCATACACAAAACGAATGAATGATTTTGGCTTCAAATTTTTTTGAATTTGAGTGAATACCTCATATATATTCTGATATATGTGTCGACATTACAATATTCAAACAAAGTGAAAATAAATTGAATTGAAATAAATGACAATTTTTTGTATGAATATCCAAAAATATTCTTTCTGTGTACNTAGTCCTAGCGACATCCAAAAATATAAATAGTTTTTTCTAACAGCATTCAAGAGGTGTAAAATTGTAGGCCCCTCTGTCTATGTCATAACATCAAGAAGAACATGAAAAATGGTGGGAGAAGCTCGGTCAAATGCTTGTTTTGGAGTTTTAAAAAACCTTTGGTGCAAAAAAATGCGTTTGCCCTAGGTGTTATAAGTCCCTTAAATAATTGCACTGAGCTCTTCCACCCTATCGTTACCTAATATGGTTAGATCCTTTGGTAATATCTCAATTCCGATCTGTGTATGTATTAGAGCGCTGCATGAATTCATTCAAAACAGCTTATGGATTATTCATACACAAAACGAATGAATGATTTTGGCTTCAAATTTTTTTGAATTTGAGTGAATACCTCATATATATTCTGATATATGTGTCGACATTACAATATTCAAACAAAGTGAAAATAAATTGAATTGAAATAAATGACAATTTTTTGTATGAATATCCAAAAATATTCTTTCTGTGTACATGCCCTGCAAACCAAAGTTCCCGAAATCTTAAGGAAATCGTTAGGAGTATCTCATTTCTGTAACGATTTGTTTACGAATTTTCAAAGAAAATTATATGAAGTGGTTGACACGAACTCGTAAAGAAATTTCTGTACGAAAAATAAAGAAAATTCTGAAAGATATTCTTCACATAGCAGCATTATTTTCGTTGCTTCACAGATTTTCCTCCGAAATTTCGTAAAAGAATGGAAGTGTGCGTAATTTATTTCATTTTAGAAAATTCGGCAAAAAATCGAATTAAATCTTAACAAATTCTTTAAAATTTCTTTACAATGCAAAATACTCTGAAAAAATGGTTTGCAGGGTACCCAGCCAGCAAGAAAACGTACATTTTACGAACATTATGTTTTACGAGGGATTCTCGTATCGCCAAAAAGTTAGAGAAAAGCTCGTAAACGATAAAACAAAAAAAATATAATAGAAAGAGGCTTGTAGTAATTTGTCAGCACAAGAAAAAATTTTAGTTTTGTTGACAATTTTTTTCTTCAATCACAATATTTTAAAAGTAAGTAGTTTGTTAAATATTCAATTTAAGAAAATTATTAAGTATGTGATTTATTGGCAGACTGGTGCAAACGAAAAGGACGATCTACCACTTTCTTTTGTAATTAAACTTCTTGTAAGTAGCTACTACATATGTAATTCCGAAATACAAATTAATTTAACGAGTTTTGCAATTCTTTCNTAAAAAACGGACGTAAAAATATTCGCATACGAATGCTTTTTCGATCCGTTTACGACTGTTCGTAGGCGATGCACAATTTAAAGCGAAAAAGTGCTCGAAAAAGAGTCGTAAACGGCTATCATAAACGATTTTTAATCCGGTTTTTCTTCTAGAAAATATCCAGTTACGAGCTTGTTTACGATGATTTTGCTGGCTGGGTATGTACAAACATACCTATGTATGTATGTATGTATTGCTGCGCTCCTATTACAATACGAACAAACTTGTTTGTAGAAAAAAACTTTTATCGAGATGAGTTTGAATGATTTTAAGGCTTTTCATTCATTCATTCACATTCTTCCATAGCCCAGTAAAAATAGACTTTTTCTTAAAAAAAATTTGTAACAGCTATTTTCTGATGCAGTTTACTTCTATTTGACACGTAGATCATGGATCCACAGTCTTGCCCCTAAATTTTATTTGGCAACATTCCGCCATCTTGGATTTAAGTTTTTTTGTTTTTTTTCCAATTTGCAAGCTTATTTCGCATTTTTCGGAAAAAATGGTTATATACAAATGTGTAGAGAATTTAATTTCCCACATTTGTTATATAGAAGGTTTTTTCAAAATAGCATTTTTTATTGTAAAAAATTAGCAAAAACTGCAAAAAAATTTATATTGCCACGGTTTTCGGCATTTTTTGATAATTTCTGTTGAAAATACATAGCATATTGAAATTCAAAAGTTGTAGAGAATTTCATTCTTCACAGCTTGTATACCTACATTTGTTTTGTATGACGCTTAGATCACGGCCGGGAACGTGCGTAACATAGCGATTAACCCAGAAAAATTAGTTAAATTTTGTAGGAAAATTAAAAAAAAAAATTTTAACTGCGATTTTTTTATGCAGTTTACTTCTATTTAACACGTAGATCATGGATCCACAGTCTCGCAATGAGTTTTACGGCGCATCCCGTACATTGCTATGCTTACCGCACTTCCGGCCGTGATCTAAGCGTCGCACAAAAAAAAATTTTGGCACAAAAGTTTTGGAGAATGAAATTCTCTACAACCTTGGAATTTCAATAAGCTATGTATTTTCAATAGAAATTGTCAAAACTGGCGAAAACCGTGACAATGTAAAATTATTTCACAGTTTTTGCTAATTTTTTACAATAAAACATGTTATTTTTAAAAAACCTTCTATATGACAAATGTGGGAANAAAACTGGCGAAAACCGTGACAATGTAAAATTATTTCACAGTTTTTGCAAATTTTTTACAATAAAACATGTTATTTTTAAAAAACCTTCTATATGACAAATGTGGGAAATTAAAGTCTCTGCATATTTGTATTTAACCATTTTTTATGAAAAATGCAAAATTAGCTTGCAAATCGCAAAAACCCAAAAATAAATAAAATCCAAGATGGGGGAATGTTGCCAAATGAAATTTAGGGGCAAGACTGTGGATCCATGATCTACGTGTTAAATAGAAGTAAACTGCACAAAAAAAAGCGCTGTTAAATTTTTTTTTTAATTTTCCTATCAAATTTAACTTATTTTTCTGGGTTAATCGCTATGTTTCGCACGTTCCCGGCCGTGATCTAAGCGTCATACAAAACAAATGTGGGTATACAAGTTGTGAAGAATGAAATTCTCTACAACTTTTGAATTTCAATATGCTATGCATTTTCAACAGAAATTGTCAAAAAATGGCGAAAACCGTGGCAATGTAAATTTTTTTGCAGTTTTTGCTAATATTTTACAGTAAACAATGCTATTTTGAAAAAACCTTCTATATAACAAATGTGGGAAATTAAATTCTCTACATATTTGTATATAACCATTTTTTACGAAAAATGCAAAATAAGCTTGGAAATTTGAAAAAACCCAAAAAAACTTAAATCCAAGATGGCGGAATGTTGCCAAATGAAATTTAGGGGCACGACTGTGGATCCATCATCTACGTGTCAAATAGAAGTAAACTGCATCAAAAAATCGCT